GACAACAATGTTAGAAACATGTTAACTTGTTTTATCTTATTGGCTTTCTTCACAACCTCAAAAATATCCGTTTTATGGGAACTCAGACTTTTAACGACCTGCAGGAAGCCAAGCTTAAATTTGGGTGTTCAAATCTGGATGAATAATCTATTAGAAGCAGTAAAGCAGTTATTTAATAGTACGTATAATCTAATATTTAATAGGAAAGTAGTTTCTATGCACTATATTTCTCAAGAATTTGGTTACATTTGGCCATAGTGGATTATAAGATCTCTATTATCTAAACAGCTCTTTGATTATTGGTGTTTCGGCACCTTTGTGGTTTCTGGCACAGAACTGAGGATTACAGGTGCACTACCTGAAAAGAGCCACTAGGGCGCTCCACAGGGGTGTGAAGAAGGCTTCCTCAATGCTGGCGAGACACAGGTCCTTAAAGCTGGCAGTGTTTAGTGACTCAAAGGACAGCAAACACAAAGACAGAAGCTGATCTGAAACACAGAACACAGCCGTATCATTTAACTCCCATCAACGAATGCAAACGTCGTGACAAGAGAAGAGTTTGCTGTTCCAAAACAACAAGCTGTGCTCACCGATTGCAATATGAACGTCCTTGACGACAGCTTTCAGGTGTTCTTTAAGCGCTCTCTTCTCCAGCTCCTGGACGTGGCTCTCATCCTGCTCCAGCGGCGCAGAACAATCGCAGACCAAATCTGAATCCGAGGCAGGGTCGTCTGTGCTGCTGGGGGGTTGAACCCAGTCCATCTGAGTCACAAACTGCTCCAGATCTTCAAATGAGTTCTCCCGGTCCATTGACTCCTGCTCGCTGGGCTCCTCCGCCTCTTCCTCCTCATATTTAGGGATGAGGTTGTGGGAGCGCGAGGGAGAAATCAAGGAGTCTGTGCTGAAGCTCTTTACACTTTGGGTACTACATGCTGTCCTGGCTGGTCTCTTCGGAGTCTCTGTGTGATTCAGAACACGTCACCATTAACGTTACTTGGTTCAGTCCAATTAACAGCATCACGAGTCCAGAACCTCTAAATGCTGCCCATACAGAGTAGAGCTGAATCCAGTGTTCTGTCTCAAATCCTCATTAACAAAAATTTAAACTAGTT